TTGCAGCTCAGGTGATAGCTAAGGGATTCTTCATGATGGCTCCTCTCCCGTTTTGTTCTCTTCCACCCCTTTATATATTTTTTTGCATAAGGCGGGAACCCTTTGTCCCTCTGGGTTTCCACCCCCCTCACTGGAAAAGCACCAGGTTAAAGATGGATTCCAGTTCAGGTGACATGATCACATGTCACTGCAAGACTTCATTGCCCACTTGCCAGCACACACACATACAGGAAGACTAACAGGTAAACACAGCCATCTGCAGACAATGGTCCTTGTTAATGGGAGTCATCAAGATTCCAAACCATCATTAATGGCCCACACTTTACATAATTACAGTAGGCCCTCAGAGTTATGTTTTATATTTCTAGTTTTAGATACAAGAGTGGTACATTTCTACAAATAGGATGATCACACTCAGTAGATTATGAGCTTTGTAATGATACCTTACAAGAGACCTTTTGCACGAAGCATATCCCAGTTGCATTATATTCACTTATTATCATGTTTTTATAAAACATATAGACTGCACAAGGTCACAGTGTGTTGACTTAATGACATTAAGCAGAAGTAACTAAAATAAAATAAAATCTGTCCCACTCAATTTTAGCTTTGAAATTAAAGAGTGCTTCCAGGTATCCTGTTACTCTGCTGAGAGTGCTGTTTATTTGACCTGCCCTACCTTTGCTTCTTTAGGCCTCAATCCAGAAAAGCTCTTAAGCAGTTGAAATCATGGGGCCTCACTGGAGTAAAAAAGAGAGACAGAGGTTCACAACATCTTTCATGCAAACCCATTTTCATTTCCAGTATTTTTCCCTTTGATTTGGGCTGATTTGCTAAAAGTAGTCAAGTTTACAGTAGGTGATTGACACAAACTTTCATATCTGGTTCTTTTCTGATTCTCTGCTTGAGTAGTTTTGTTGCCATCTTCCAGTGTCCTGTGGACTAGGTAGGGTTGCCAGGCGTCCAGTTTTCGACCGGAATGCCCAGTTGAAAAAGGACCCTGGCAGCTCCAGTCAGCACCGCTGACCAGGCCGTTAAAAGCCCGGTTGATGGTGCTGTGGGTCTCATGCAGGCTAGTCCCTACCTGTCATGGCACTGTGCTGCACCCCAGAAGCAGCCAGCAGGTTGGATCATAGGCCGGGGGCCACAGGGCTCCACACACTGCCCCCCCCACCCCCCAGCACAGGCTCCGCACTCCCATTGGCCGGGAACCGTGGCAAAGTCAGGACAGGCAGTGCCACTGACCGGGAACCACCCAAGGTAAACCCGTGCCCCTGCCCCAACCCTGAGCCCCCCCCCAACCCTGGAGCCCCTTCCTGAACCCCAAACCCCTGATTCCCAGCCCCACCCCAGAGCCTACACCCCCACCCAGAGTCCTCTCTCACACACACACACACGCATCCCCAACACCCTGCCTCAGCCCAGAGCCCATACCCTCTCCTGCACTCCAACCCCCTGCCTCAACCCGCAGCCCCCTCCCGCACTCCAAATCCCTTGGCTGGAGCTCCCAACTGCACCCAAAACCCCTGAGCTCCCTCCAACCCGGAACCCCCTCCTGGACCTCAAACCCCTCATTCCCAGCCCCACCCCAGAGCCCTTACTCCCTCCCGCACCCCAACCCCCTGCCCCAACTCAGTGAAAGTGAGTGAGGATGGGGGAGAGCAAGCCACTGAGAGGGGGGAATGTAGTGAGCAGGGGGCAGGGTCTCAGGGAAGGGGTGGGGCCTTGGGGAAGGAGCGTGGCTAGGGTGTTTGGTTTTGTGCGATTAGAAAGTTGGCAACCCTAGGACTAGACCTACCATTAAACTTCTGCAAGAGTCGTTTACTGAGATGTTTTCTGCCTTCCTTTGACTGTGTTTCAGAAAATCTTCAGAAGAACTGGACATGGATAAAGTGACAGCAGCTATGGTACTAACCAGTTTATCCACCAGCCCTTTGGTTCACAGCCCTCCTGTACGGCCCAATGGTAAACTTATAACATAATACTTTGGGGGATTGTAAGAAGTGGTAGTAATACATTATACTGAGTATCTGAAAGTTACTTTCCATTTTGTGGCAGGCACATAGCACATCTGAATAAATATGGTAGGGATAAAGTATCCTTATCTGCCTCAGTAGTCGTAATTCAACTGGAAAAGAAAAATAGATGCCCAGTTGTCCTGTTGTACCCATTGTAATTATCCACTAGGGGAGCTAGAGGCAAGCTTGAGGACTAGTGAGGAGAGTGCAGGTAAGTAAGGAGGAGCAGAATCCACCTCTGGAGGGGACTGTGATTTACTCTGTGTTTATACTGTGCCTAACACAGTTGGGCCTTGACCTAGTAGAGGTCTCTAGGTGTTACCAGAGAAAACCCCATACATGAGAATATGGCTTCCGAGTGGCAGTGGAGCTGCTCTAGCATCTGTAGCCCTAGCTCACCCCCTGCATGGGAGGAAAGACCAGACGAGGATCAGTACAGTGGTGGATCTTCTGACCGTCCTGAAATGTTAGTTCTCCAAATTATCAGATTATTTTATACATACACATGAAGTCAATATGGCAGTGATTCTCAGCCTTTTCCATACTGTCCCAACCCACCCACATCCTCCCCAGTCAGAATATAGCCAGGTCCTATTTCCCATTTAGCAATATGAGAAGGCAGGGTAAGCTCCCTTCCCCCCGGAGACCTGATTACAACTTCAAGGCTGAAAAGATTGAAAAATCGGGGCCTTAGTTCCCATCCTGTGGATCTGTTTCCAGGATAATTTCTCTCAGACAACATGTAACCAAACTCATGAATCTCATAAGTAGGGCCCTACCAAATTCACGGTCCATTTTGGTCAATTTCATGGTCATAGGATTTTAAAAATAATAAATTTCACCATTTCAGATATTTAAATCTGAAATTTCATGTTGTTGTAACTGTATGGTCCTGACCCAAAAAGGAGTTGTGGGGGGGGGGCCACAAAGTTGTTATAGGGAGGGTTGCAGTACTGCTACCCTTATTTCTATGCTGGTGCTGGCGGTAGCGCTGCCCTCAGAGCTGGGCGGCTGGAGAGTGGCAGCTGCTGGCCGGGAGCCCAGCTCTGAAGGCAGAGCCGCCACCAGCAGCAACACAGAAGCAAGGATGGCATGGTACGGTATTCCCACCCTTACTTCTGTGCTGCTGCCTTCAGAGCTGGGTCCTTGGTCAGCAGCCTTCACTCTCCGGCTGCCCATCTCTGAAGGCAGCAGCGCAGAAGTAAGGATGGCATGGTATGGTATTGCCACCCTTACTTCTGCGCTGCTGCCTGCAGAGCTGGATTCCTGGCCAACAGCTGCCGCTCTCCAGCCGCCCAACTCTGAAGGCAGCGCAGAACTAAGGGTGGCAATACCATGACTCCCCCAAAATACCCTTGTGACCCCCCCCCCGAAAATCCCTTTTGGGTCAGGACCCCAATTTGAGAAACGCTGGTCACCACTGTGAAATCTGTATAATATAGAGTAAAAGCACACAAAAGACCAGATTTCATGGAGGGAGATCAGATTTCACAGTCAGTGACATGTTTTTCATGGCCATGAATTTGGTAGGGCCCTACCCATAAGACACTTGATTACATGAACACAACACAAGTATAAAACAATTCATAAATCTGATAAGCAATTGGTATTTTCAACATCTGATAATGAAATTGATACGAAAATGTCATTGATAGTTTGAGAGGGCTTGTAAGGGTTTAAAAATCTATAATATTATGTGGCAGAGATCCTGATGCAGTGATGCACTTAGGGTGACCAGATCAGCAGTCCAAAATATCGGGACGGGATGGGGGGAGGGGGAAAAAAGGGGGGTAGAGCAAAAAAAAAAGGCATTTAAAAGGGGCTGGGGGCATTAGCAGGCCCCAGCCCCGCTCGCTGCCCTCCCCGCGGAGACTCCCGCCCCCCGGCGCGCCACGGGCATATGCGGCACGCGGTGGATCCGGGCGGGGGCAGCGCGGAGCTGGCAGGAGCCGGGTGGGCGGCAGGGGCTGAATCC